ACTTCTGACCTCAAGCAATCTTCCTGCCTTGGGCTCCCAAAGTGCTGGGATTACAGATATGAGCCACTGCACCCAGCCTTTCTATATCTTCTTAAAGTTGTATATCTGTATCCATATCTATAGATAAATCTATCTTTAACTAGAAATAGGATTATACTGTATATCTTATTTTAAAGTTTGTTTTAAAATTCAAACTGTATTATGAATATTTTTCTACATTTGTATTTATACATGTTTGCATTATATTTAAGAATTAGGACATTTTAAAACCATTCTCTTACTTTTCAGTATTTAACTGTTTCCTTTTCCTCACTTGTTATAAACACTGTATTATAAAAAATCTTTCTCAAGTGGGTTTAAAAACTTACTTTCTTAAATTCTCCATGGAATTTCTGGGTCTAAGGGAATGTACATATATATTGCTTCTAATAGGAGTGAATAAACTCCATTCCCAGGACTATTTGTACTGGTCCTTTTTGCAAATTCTTGTCATCCTGGGTATTATATTAATTTTAAAAAATCTTAATTTAAGAGTTGTAAAATGATAGCTTTGCTTGTTTTCTTTGGGAAAACATATGTTATCCGTGTTTCTGAGGTTATTTTATTCTCCACAAAAGGAAGGCCAGCCATTTCCGTTATCAAGTAGTTGGTAGGACCAAGACTACTCCATTAAGTCAGTGGCAAAATACCTCTTTGATTTTAAACATTAGGAAGGATTGTGTCTTTGGTGCATTGATAGAGCATTTAGTCCAGTCTTATTTACCATAAGGCTTTTTGATAATGGCTTTTAGGTTGACAATAAGTATAAAATCTCAAATGAGATTTTTTTTAAAGATCATAATCAAAAAGCAAAAATGTCTTCGTAGAAATATCAAAGGAATGCTTTTGTTGGATTTTCTCCACTAACTCATGTAGGCAATATCCCAAACTCAAACAGCCAGCAGTTGTTTTGCAGAAGACAAACTGCATCTGAAATCAGTGTGACAGGGCCGCAGGTTCCATCTCATCACTTCACCAACCTGTGTTCAAGAAAGCACAACTTGAATAATAAATATACTACCACAGAGCGAGCAAATTCTTCAGTATGAATATTTTGAAGTAAAGAGAAAAACGGGCTTACGGCCATTGCCTTGTAGCAAAATTTTGCCTTTGGCCAAAGTTTTACAATGCAATAGAGTTTTTAAAATATTGGGAATGAGGTTAATTGACCTGGAGAAGTGAACTTAATGAGCTCATTTCTTTCCTTCAAATTCAAAAAGCCAGAAAGTGAGTTTTCGTCTGTTCTTCCATTTATCCAATTAGAACATCTCCACCACACATAGGGCTACTAGAAGAAGTAATAGTTATTAATGTATCCTAATAATATTAAATCCTATGATGGCTTCTAGTAAGTACAATAGATAAAGCATCCTCTGTAGTTATAGCTACAGATGATAAAATTGACCAGAAACAAATCTTGGTCAAAAATTTTGCTCATAAATTGCTCCTTGCTGCACTGTATAGGCCCCCTCCTCTAAAGCAGCTGATAGACCAGTACATTTGTGATCACAGAATCCCCTATTAGTGGTTACTGGTGTATATTGCATAGGGACAGTCATATACTGCTGGTGCCACTTAACTTAAGATCAACCCACCTCCACTGGATTTTTACCCCCGTCTTTCTGCTCCTTCCTCCATCTTATAACTTTCTGTTTTGAATGCATAATATCTTCCATGCTGTCTTTGAGACATTGTTTAAATATTACCACTTATCCAATGATTATTTTGAGGCAATAGCAAGTAAGAGATTGAGTTACCTTCCTTTTAGAGAGAAAAGATTCCTAGATGCCAAGTGGACTCAGGGACTAAGTCTCCAATGGCATTGTTCATCTTACTTAACCTCTTTGTCTTCAATTTCTAATCCAATAATAAAGTAGTAGGCAAGTTTGTTGTTTATATTTTTATTCTTTTCTCTTTCTTTCTTTCATCTCCTCAATTAAATAGAAAAAACTCACTTTGTTTTCATGCTAAAATTTTCAGAATACCATTAAACATCTACATGCTGGATAATTAAATTCTTATTTTTTACCTTCTCCCTTTAAAAATGTTAAAGGGAAACAATTGCTCAACTATGAACCGGTGGAGAAAAGTAAATACTGGCAAAAAATTCTCTAGACTGTACTATGTTCTAATAATAATGATGAAATATGTCAAACTGTTCTAAAATATTAAAGATTCATTACATAAATTAGAACAAGGAAATGACCTTGTTCTAATATCAAAATAGTTTTTAACAATATTAATAAAAAACAAAGAGCAAAGGGTGATTATTATGGATAAACAGGGAGACATTTAATGTGGTTTGACTCTTCTGATTCATGATTTAATACATAACTCTGGCATACATTGGGCACTTTGGGAAATCACATTGAGTATTTCACAGCAAATGAAGTGTGAGAAAAATAATTTTCAGAAATACTGGTATTTGTTTATTTTAAATCTTATCTTGAATCAATCATGGTTTACATGAAATATAATTTGACAAAATGTAACAGGTTTTAGTGTGTGCATAAAATGAGAATTTTCTGATCATTCAGATATTAAAATTAATTTTATAAATGCAAATACATATTGATTACCTATTAAAATTTTAAGGTCTATTTATTTTAATAAGTCTTTATAAAACTTAGAGAAATCTTATGAATATAAATGTAAAACTCCTAAATAATTTTTTTACTTGGCATTATTTATCATTAATGATGTTGGATTTATTCTAAAAATGCTAGCATAGATTCCCATTAACCTATTATGTGATTTATCAATTCAATAGGTCAATAATTCAATCAGAATATTTAATAAAATTGACAGTGTATTAAGTTTTTTCTTGTTTTAACATAAATACATCTTGGCTTTGGAATAGCAATTTATTTTTTTATTTTATTTTTTTTTTATTTCAGCATATTATGGGGGTACAGATGTTTAGGTTACGTATGTTGCCTTTGCCCTCCCCGCCCCCCTGCCCCCCAAGTCCGAGTTTCAAATATGTCCATCCTTCGGGTGGTGCACATTGCACTCTTTGTGTATGCAAATACCCGTCCCCTCCCCCCCCTCCCCCCCCCCCGCCCAACATCCAATAGATGTTATTCTTATATGTGCATTTATGTGTTGATTGGTTAATACCAATTTGATGGTGAGCAATTTATTTTTTAAAATGATAAAAATTGTGTGACATCAATAGTGAACATTATTATAAAAGATTAAACATTAAAGACATTTTCATTAACATCAGAAAAAAGACAAATATGCCTACTGTCATTATTATATCATATAAATTAACTATTATGCTAAAAATTCTGGCCAATGAAGTAGAGAAAAAATAAATATAAATATATATATTAAGAATTATGAACTAAATCTTCACTATTTTACAAGCAAAAGGAAAATCCTACTATCTGATAAAATCTTTAAAATCAACAAGAAAAATGGGCTGGCCTTGGTGACTTATACCTGTAATCCCAGCATTTTGGGAGGCTGAGACAGAGGATTCCTTGAGGGCAGGAGTTTAAGACCAGCCTGAACAACATGGTGAGAATCCATCTCTACAAAACATAAAAAGATTAGCTAGGCATGGTGATGTGTGCCTGTAGTCCCAGCTACTAGGGAGGCTGAGGCAGGAGGATCAGATGAAACCAGGAGTTCGAGGCTGCAGTGAGCTATGATCTTGCCACCGCACTCCTGCCTGGGTGACAGAGTGAGAACCTGTCTGGAAAAAAAAAAAAAAAAAGGAAAAAAAAGAAAAATGAATATACAAAAAAAAGAACAATTTTCTCGAAAAGAACCATATATAACCAGGAACTAGATGAAGAATAAGAATATTTGGCTTTACTAGTAAACAAAGACATACACACTAGAACAGTGATTAATATTTTTTTCTAAAGTCAAAATAGTGAAAATACAACAATCATAGTTTTTATATGGGCATAACACAAGAAAATGGACATTCTTAGATATTGCTGGTGGGAGCATGAATGAGTTTAATTTTTCTAGAAGGAATTTGGCCTTATTTAACAAAATCTTTAAAAATGTTTTTACTCTTTCATAATGTGACTTTATCTCTTATAATTTTCTTAAAATACTTAGATATATTCATTTCCTATCTCAAAGATAAATTTGAAAACAGTAAATGTGTAATAATTGTGGAAAAGTTGAATGTTATTTAGTAGAAAAATTGAGAAATAATGCAATAAAATACACAATGTTTAATAATATAGAACTATATAATAGGGAACACACAAGACACACATGTATTCTCAATTTTGAAACGAAAAATGTACACACACCCAAATTTTGGAAATTGTCTCATGTTAATATTTTGACTTATCATTTGATAGTCAAATTATCAGGGCTTTTTATTTTCTACTTCCTTTATTTTCTAGAAGGATACTTTTACTAAATATACAGTTATGCTAGACTCAGTTCAGGTGAGTTGTACTTAAATCTATGGAAAAATTTTGCTTTGTCCGTAAGTTGTATTTATATTAGAAAGTTAAAATCATCAATTTAAAAAATATTTCCAGCTTTAGTTGCTTTGTTCCAATTCCAGCTGATGAGATTTTAACAAAGAAATAAAACAACTTAATTCTCCAACTTTATTATGTTTTAACTTACAGAGTAGTAAATAATGTTTTACTATTTTTTATTTCCCATTTATAATCAACAGTAGGGAGTTTTTAATGTTTTAAAGTCTTTAAAGTTTTTAAAAGTCTTGTAACAATTGTAACATTTCTTATTGATTATTAAGATCGCTTTGCATGATTTCTGCTTGCTTTTACAGTTCCACCCTATCATGCCTATGATATGCTATTTTCTGATTTATAAAACATTCTTCAAACTAAAGTGGTTGCTGGCTTTTAACTCACTCATATTAGCTTTACATCTGGTGAAAGTACCTGATGTGTAAATAAAAAGAAAGAAAATCACAACTTTATATTTCTTTATTGTTCCGATATTTATTGTTCTAGTGTGAACGCTGCTTGCCTCTTTATAATGACAAGCCTTTCCGACAAGGTGATCAAGTTCATGCTTTCAACTGTAAACCTTGTCAATGTAACAGCCATTCCAGAAGCTGCCACTACAACATCTTGGCAGACCCATTTCCTTCTGAACACTTCAGAGGTGGAGGAGGAGTTTGTGATTATTGTGAGCATAACACTACGGGTAAGTAGCAAATAATAAATTGCTGACTCAGTCGTTAAGGCCTGTGTGCTTCATGCCTATTATTTTAAATTATGTTATTTCTATCTTATTTAACACATCATTGCACTAGAAAAAAAAAATTTTTCCCTTGTGGCCATAGCATTTTATTACAGAAATAGAATAAAAACTTCAAAAACAAAATGATCCTTTCTAATTTAATGAAGAATTTGTTATTTTTTATTGTTTTCTGTGCGTGAGTTGTATGCAACTTGAAAAATAGTTCTTGTAGCTCCCAAAGTGAAGAGACCTGTGAGTTACATGTGATTCACGAAGCCCTGGGCTCAAAACTAGCATGAGTTAAATACAACTCACATGGCAGTTCATGTGTTAAGAATATGCTTTCATAGTGGTATGTTCAAAAACCAAAGCTAGTTCACTAAATCTTCCCAATTCCAAATCATTAGGTAGTTTTCAGAAATATCAGTCTAGTCTTAAACTATATCTTTTTTTTAAAGGGTTCATACTATTTGATTAAACCACAAACATATTTTAGATAACTCTGGAATGCTTAGTTTAAGTTTATATATGCTTAAAATGAGTTTCCTTGTGTCACCCTTATTGTCCATTATGTTTGGATTCTCATGTGGAAACACACACGTATTCAGATTTGTCATGGGCACTTGTAATCTGGGAATATTATTTTTTAAAATGCTAATTAAATACATAAAGTGATAAAGTCCTGTTTTAAAACCACAAAACATTTTGCCTAGTAATTGAAAATTACCATTTTTTTGAAGGACTGATAGGTTAAAAGCAGAAGTATCCAACATCTGAATTTGTAGAATATAATGGCCCAAGTTTGATGGGTTTGAAGTTGCTACTGTGAAGCATTAGTGAATTTATTGGATAATTATTGATGACCTAAAATGTCACAAGAACTTAGTTAGGTGCTGGGGATATGCAAATGAATAAGATAATGAATTTTCCTGTCTTTGTATTATTGTATGGAGGAAAGAAGACTATTCAAGGAACAATTACAAAGTTGTCTGATGAGTGCTAAGATAGGGCAAATATAGTAGGTGCTGAGCAGGTGAAGGGTGAGAGAGGAGAACTAGAACAGCAAACTAAGCTTTCTGGTAAGGGAAACATGTTGTACAATGGTTTGGAACAGAGAGAAACACGGCACCTTTGAAGGACTGAAAGAAGGACAAATGGCTGACCGGTGTTAAGAAGAGATGCTAGGAAGGAAAGCAGGAGCCAAATCATAAAGGGCCCTGTAGTCCATGATAAATAGTTTCACTTCTATCCCAAGGTCAGTGAGATGCCAATTAAGGGTTTTATCCAGGAAAGGGGTATCATCAGTTTCTAATTTTTAAAAGATCCATCTGGTTGTAAAGTGGAGAATGGATTGGAGAATGGAATGGAGTGGGGAATGGCCAAGAGTGATTTGGGAAAACCAGTTAGTGGGTGCTGCAGTAGTCCAGGTGAAAAATAATGTTGGAGGACGTTAAAAGTAGTGTAGATAGAAAGAGGTGGATCCAAGAGATATTTAGGATGGAAAACTGACAGCATTTTGTGAGCAGAATGGAAGTAGGGAAGGAAGAAGAATCCAGACTGATTCCTAATGTTCCAGCTCGAGCAATAGGGTCAACATTAGCTCCGGCCATCAAGGTAGGGAACACAGGAGGATCGAGCTAAGAGAGAAGATGGCAAATTCTGTTCTGGACACGTTCACTGTGTGTTTCCAAGAGACATAGGAGCAACTCTCCTGTAGGCAGTTGGAAACATAGTTCTGAAGCCCCTTTCTTCCAGGAAAGCCTTTTGTGATGCCTCAGAAAAGATCAGAGTTGTCCACACACGTAAGAGCCCACTATGCTTATTGCAGTTGGTAAATGTGTATTTATTCCTGTTGTTATTTGGTTAGGATTGATCTTACGCACTAGACTGTAAGAAAGCTCTGTGAGGGAAATACAGTGTGCATTGTGTATTTTGCTCACTACTGTATGCCTCCGCACTTAGCCAGTATTTGGAGCATGGTAATCTCTCAATAAATATTCATTGAATGATAAATAAAGAAAAGACTTCAAGATAGGAGATACAGATTTGGGAATCATCAGCATATGTAAATGGAAATATTCTAGAAATATTATAAATCCATTTAATTTTTAATTAGTCCATAGCCAATATCCATCAGAATATAAGTTTTCACTTGATTATTTCCATACCCTTTTAACATTGGGCCAATTTCAGCAATATTTAATCAAAGTGCTTAATGTTTAAAGGGGAAATTT